GGCACATCATACAGACAGATAGAGATTTATACTGCACTTAGTATCCGCAGCGTCCTTCCGGGCCATTTTCTGGTGAGATTCATGGGCCATCCGCGACGCCGAACTCACTGCACTCCAAGAGTGGCAGCTGTTGCTTCGTTGCGTCGTGGGTAGACGGATAGACCCCACTTGGTTTGTCTGAAAATGGGGATGTTAAGCAGAAATAATGGAATTATATGGGGATATAATTTAGTCAAGTAGAATGGAGAGATTGTTATGGGATATTCCCCACAGCAGATGGGGATTTCATCAACTTTCTGTAAAATGGAGAATTGCCAACAACTGACAGGGAAATTTAACCAACTATGATGTGGAGATCATGGGATATTCGAATATACTGGACGATCAGCATCCTGAATTTTAGATTTATCACCATCCACCACGGGGATTTGAGGATCAAACATAGAGATTTATCATGATTCAACCAATTACCAATGGACATATTACATATGTATTCATGTGGTATGTTAACCAGCCATGTTGGGGATACAACGGGATAGATATCAACCATCAACTATTTGGATATAGAAGGGTTTATCCGCAAATGGGTTATGGAAGACTTCACTTCATGGATATTTTCATAGGTAACATGAGGATCCACCGCGGGATTTCACCGTTCTCCCCGTAAGTTCTTAGACAACCCCCACTGTAGACGGGTAGACTCGACCGGATTCTCACTGCCATTCGAGCCAAAAGTGGCGGCAGCTCCGACCTGGGCGAGCTGGTGGTACAACGGTATAACCCAATGCCATAAATATGAGGTTTATGAAAAAAACACACCCCTTTTTAGAGTACTGGGCGTTCATATATATAATATGTATATTTATATATATATATATGTATATAGCGGTAAACTCCAGCTTGTATTTTTTTGGGTGATGACCAGCGGTCTACTCCACGCAGGTCTACTGCGTCTTCATCGTGTGGTCGCGATGCGAGCAGTTGCAGGTGCCCTCTCGACGTCCGAATCGTGCACGGGCGTCATGCCATTTTTGTGATCTCGTTCCTGACTTTTTCTGAAAACCATGGTTATTCATGGTTTCTGGAAATAGTTGGGGGGCTGAAACTGGGGGAAATATAGATTTCCATCGATTTCCAAGTCAGTGAAATAGTCACCATTGTTGGGGAAGATCCCCCTGTGTTCATGCTGACTTCGGGCCAGTGAGGGCGTTCGATGATTTTCCCACATGTAGATGCATTTTTTTTTGGTAACATGGGATTTTCCATGTTTGATTGCCGGAGGATACGGCCCAAAACCATGGAATTTGGGCCAGTCTGAAACGGTTTCTGATTCTCTTCACGATCGATCAATCGATCAATACAGTCTTGTAGATAAGAATTCTTACAGACGGGGATCGATTGTCAACTATGTTGGTCGTTGGTCGTGCCACAGCAGTTGAAATTACCATACATCGCCTTAGGTTGTTGATTTGATGTCTCCCAGATACATTCCTTTGGACACATCAACTTTGTATGAAGAACAAATCAGGATATTGTTATGAATTCATGGATCCACACAATCCAATAATTAATTGAGGATTGAATCTACAACCCACTAGTCAATGATGGGATATGGGTTTGCCTGAAAATAGGAACGCCCCAAGTTTGATGCTTGACTGAATATAGCAATTTGAGGCTATCCACATTCTCAGACAAACCCATGTCCCATATTCCTTGTTATATCCCATCAAATCCCTTAAGCAAATCCCATTTTGGCCGGTAGAATCCCTGTTGATCACCGTTGCAGTTGGATATTCACCTACCATTTGCAAAAAATGCAACGCCTTCCGCCGACTCTCGTCCCCAGTGGCTCAGCAGCCCAGCAACTGAAACACAGGGCGTCTGACTACGTGAGACTTCAACGACTTGTACCGTGAAAGAACAAGACATATTATGAGTATTGGATTGTTATTCATCTCCTATAATCTCCCATATGTATAATCTGGTATAGTACCCTAGGATACCCTAGGTATTGTTGTAGATTATTAACAATCCAAAAATACCATCCCCTGTTTGTATGAAAAAAACTAAAACCCTGGGGTTTCTTGGGGATTTATACATATTGGGACCATTTGGGGGGTTGTCCAATTTGAACGGCGGACAGGATTAATGGTATGCTCAGCAAAAAATATGTGATTGGTAATTCCAAAGTATCCCATTATGTTCTTTGAGACTGCAACCCAACCAGCAGCAGTATGATGGGGGCTTATTAAGAAATATTAAGAACACAAATCCCCTCGACATTAAACCCGCGCCATTTGAAACCCCAAAATTAAGATATTAAATTCTGAATTCTACACTTGAATTTCTTGGAGGTGTTTGATCATAAAAAAGAAAGGGGTTATTCGAAGACTTTGCCCAAAAGGAGATAAGAGAGCAGCGTAGCATGTCCTTAGATCACGAGCATCCAAAGGATTTGCCTCTCCACGAGGCGGGCGGTGATGAGCATGACAAATTGAAGCCACAAGAATGGGATGCTGCCCCTATGCACATATTGTGCAATATATAAATCTATAAATAAATAAGTAAACTTAAATATATAAGTGAATAAATAAATAAATAGATACTTGAATAAATACTTGAAGACATACTTGAATACATACTTGAATACGTATTTGAATACATACTTGAATACATACTTGAATGCATACTTGAATACATACACACATACATACACACACACATATATATACATACATGCATGCATGCATGCATGCATACATACAAACATACATACATACATACATACCATACCATACCATACCATACCATACCATACCATACCATACCATACCATACCATACCATACCATACCATACCATACATACCATACCATACCATACCATACCATACCATACATACATACCATACATACCATACATACCATACATACCATACATACCATACATACCATACATACCATACATACATACCATACATACCATACATACCATACATACCATACATACCATACATACCATACATACCATACATACCATACATACCATACATACATAGTTACATACATACATACTCGTACATGCATACATACATACCCGTACATACATACATGCATGCATGCATGCATGCATACATACATACATACCTATGTACATACATAGATGCATAGATACATAGATACATAGATACATAGATACATATATACATACAAAGAAACATAGATACATACATAGATACATAAATACATACATACATGCATACATAGATACATAGATACATAGATACATAGATACATACATAGATACATACATAGATGCATACATAGATGCATACATAGATACATACATAGATATATATATATACATACATTCATAGATACATGCATAGATACATAGATAGATACATAGATACATACATAGATACGTACATACATACATAGATACATACATAGATACATACATAGATACATAGATACATACATAGATACGTACATAGATACATACATAGATACATACATAGATGTATACATAGATACATACATAGATATATACATACATACATTCATAGATACAGTCATAGATACATACATAGATACATAGATACATACATAGATACATACGTAGATACATACATAGATACATACATAGATACATACATAGATAGATACATAGATACATAGATACAGAGATACAGAGACACAGAGACACATAGACACATAGAGACATAGAGACATAGACACATAGAGACATAGACGCATATACACATATACTCATATACACATATACATACCTACATACCTACAAACCTACCTACCTAGCTACATACCTACATATCTACATACCTACATACCTACATGGAGACATACAGACACACAGACAGACAGATATACAGACATAGAGCCATCCATCCATACATCCAGACATGCAGACATGCAGACAGACCGACAGACCGACAGACCGACCGACCGTTGGACGGACGGACGGACGGACTGACGGACCGACGGACCGACCGACCGACAGACAGACAGACAGACGTACATACCCACAACGTATATGCATATCTACAACATATATGCACACTTTTATATATACATATACATACACCAGGCATACTATACATATATACTGCATTATGTAATAGAGACACACCACACACATAATATATATATATATATATATAATCTATGCACCAGATGTTTATAACGGAATATAAACAAACATAACGAAATAAGACACATATAGACAGTACGTGTGTATATATATATACACACCCTATAAACATGTGCATATGTACATATATATATATATGTATATACACACCGTTTATATAGTATATTTACATACTATATTTATATACTATATAGATACAATATATATATGTATACGTATGTTATGTACATAGATATACATCTGATCAGCTATACACGTATAATAGACTTATATAGGCAGAGATGAGGAAAGCCGTGGATCCCCTAGTGGGATGTTATGCCCAAATCTGAATGGAACATCATCGAACGAATCTATAAATGGTGGATTTTCCATATGATGAATTCATCTGAATTCCCAGGGGGTACCGAAATTTTGACCCATCTCTAAGATTTCTCTAGAATCCAAGTTATCATCAAGACTGTGCCGTAACATATTTGGCCTGACAAAGCACGCCTCATGGACAGGGTGGAGAATTTTGCAACAGCGAAGATCCAACGTGCCCCGGCACGCCATCATCGCTATCATCGCCATTGAAGGACTGGTAGTTGGCATGTGTGGCACCTGTTGGCTCAACCACCAGGTAGCAGATTGGAGATAAGGCCAGGAAGTTGCATTGGCCCACGTTTTCTGGCAGAGGTTTGGTTTCTAAATTGTAAATTGAAATATGTTTTTTCTCCCTTTGCTTGCTCTTACCGGGCATCGCGTGAGCTGAGTGGAAACAAACTTGCCTATGTTTGGACCTGTTGGTAATTCACTCGTCTCCTGGCACTGCAGAATTTTGTAAGCTGGTGCAACGGTGGGAAGCGTAGCGAGGTAGAGCTGTCGCGGTCAATGTCGCGGTCCAATAGCAGAGAGGCAATCCGTGAGATGCACATGAGGGGGCACATGAAGGGGTCAGACTTTCATGTGACGGCCGCAGAAAGGCAGTGGGAGAAGGTGACAGTGGATGAAGCCACACGCATGCGGTTGAATGGCGAGTCAGCACAATGTATGGCACATATGAAGGCCATGAAGAAAGCAGGTGGTGTGTCGCTAAGGGAGGCAGATGGTGCGGATACCAGCAAGGACCAAGATTGGCCCCTAGATGAGTCCTGCTTCGCCAAATGTGCTGATATGTATTGCCTCATCACCACGGGATTGTGGCTGGTACCCAAGGTCCTCATCTTTGTGATTCCCATGCTGTTGCTTGAACTCCCAGCCTTCGTGCTGCTTCGCAGCTATGTGGCCACCCTAAAGCCCGGTACGGACAAAGTGCGGCGCTCCGGGAGGTTTTGGATGTCCTTTGTGCTGGCCTCATTGTTGTTCTTCCCCGCAGGGATACTGGCGATTGTCAGTTTCCGGGATTGGTTGAGTTGATGCTTTTTTGCTTTTGCCATTGGTAAATCATGTAAATCCACCATGCGGGTAATCTATCTGGAATATGTATGTATATATATATATGTATATGCATGTATATATAGATTCATATATGTATATGCATGTATATATTACAACTGGTAGCAGACCCTTGCACCACTCCTCAGTGTCCCTGACACTTTGCCGCTGCACCACAGTGCTCTGATTTTCCTCCAAGATAGCAGGATATCCAAGTTGGATCGGCCTCGATCCCTGCCCTGACAAGCACGGAAGTCAGAGGCAAATGGCTCAGGCCAACCACGTCCTGCTCTTGAGGCTCCCTGAGCCGCCCAAGCTACGGAGATGGCATCAACAGTTGTTCTGGTCGACCCAGACATGTGGATATGAGAGGATGCATTTTTACAATATACACAATATGTGAAGAGATGTGTACTTATATACATATATATATATTTGTATACAAATATACGTCGTATATATACATAACTAAATACATACATAAATAAATAAATAAATAAATAATTACTTTACCTCGTGTGATCCCCACCATGACATTTATACATTTTGTTACTGGCAAATCTTCTGGCATTCTATCTGACATATTTTCTGGCATTCGATCTGGCATTCTATCTGGCATATCTTCTGGCATTCTACCTGGCATATCTTCTGGCAGATGTTCTGGCATATCTTCTGGCAGATGTTCTGGCATATCTTCTGGCAGATGTTCTGGCATATCTTCTGGCATATCTTCTGGCATATGTTCTGGCATATCTTCTGGCATTCCATCTGGCATTCTATCTGGCATATCTTCTGGCATATTATCTGGCAAATCTTCTGGCATTCCATCTGGCATTCTATCTAGCATATCTTCTGGCATATTATCTGGCAAATCTGCTGGCATTCTATCTGGCAAACATTCTGGCACTTTATCTGGCATATCTTCTGGCATTCTAGCTGACATTCTATCTGGCATTCTATCTGGCATACCTTCTGGCATTCTATCTGGCATATCTTCTAACATTCTATCTGGCATATCTTCTAACATTCTATCTGGCATATCTTCTGGCACTCTATGTGGCATATCTTTTGGCGTGGATACTCGCGGTTGAGGTCCGGCAGGGAACACTGGGCGTGGATGGTCGTGGTTGAGGTCCGGCAGGGAACACTGGGCGGGGATACTCGCGGTTGAGGTCCGGCAGGGAGCACTGGGCGTGGATGGTCGTGGTTGAGGTCCGGCAGGGAACACTGGGCGGGGATGGTCGTGGTTGAGGTCCGGCAGGGAACACTGGGCGGTGATGGTCGTGGTTGAGGTCCGGCAGGGCACACTGGGCGTGGATGGTCGTGGTTGAGGTCCGGCAGGGAACACTGGGCGGTGATGGTCGTGGTTGAGGTCCGGCAGGGAGCAGGAGGAGAGGAGACGAGGAGAGGAGACGAGGAGAGGAGAGGAGAAGAGAGGAGAGGAGGAGGAGAAGGAGGAGGACGAGGAGGAGGAGGACGAGGACGAGGAGGAAGCAACTGACATAAAATCTAACAACCCTCACCTGGCAGGTGGGGAAATATATACATAACTGTATACACACACACACATATATATATATACATATACATATATATATATACATATACATATATATATACATATATACATATATATGTATATATATACATATATATACATATATATATACATATATATATATACATATATATATATATACACATACATACCCTCAGGCCGCCTGGTTCGCCGTCGCTTGTAACGACAATATTGAAGTGGGTTTGTGGGGGTGGTTGGGGTTGCGGGGGTTGATTTTTTTTGGGGGGGATAGGGGGCTGGGCGCAATAGCATTCCAAGAGGCTGCGTCCTGAGCCATTGCGTCTTTAGGGTGGGCTGGCTATCGATTGGTGCTGTGGTTGCTACGTTTTCAGGATGGCGTTGCCACGTTGATGCTAGATCGTTGCTACGTTTGCAGGTGGGGGTGCTAGGTTGATGCTAGATTGCTGCTATGTTTTCAGGGTGTTGTTGGCACGTTGATGCTAGATTGTTGCTCTGTTGTCAGGGAAGGGTTGCCGTTGTCAGGGAGGGGTTGCTGCTTTGATGTTACGTCGCTGCTATGTTTTCACAGGCAACCAGGACTGCCAACAGTCCTCCGAGCACTGCAGGTGTACAGAAAAGCATGTTCCAAAGGAATCGTGCAAACTAGCCCTGCAGATTGCTATGACGCAAAGAAACAAGCTGCCGTGGCTGAACTGATGAAAAAATGGCATTGGAGGCGACGGCAAGCCAGGCGGCCTGCCCGTATATATGTATATATATGTATATATATGTATATATATGTATATATATGTATATATATGTATATATATGTATATATATGTATATATATGTATATATATGTATATATATATATGTATATATATGTGTATATATGTATATATATGTATATATATGTATATATATGTATATATATGTATATATATGTATATATATGTATATATATGTATATATATGTATATATATGTATATATATATATGTATATATATGTATATATATGTATATATATGTATATATACTCGCACATGTATTTGGGCCATCTCAAACAAGTCCCAGGTTTGATGGTGGACTACCTCTTCTACTGGCTCTTTGGGATTACTTTCTGCATCTTCACCTCTCGCTACTGTGCGGTGTGGCGAAGTATGAAGGCATTGAATCCGTATCGCAATGGTCCTTGGATCATCTTGCACCTTCCAGACATCTATGTGGCTCTGATTGGTCAGACAGCACGACAAGGAATCTTTGAGATTGCTTGGAGCTTATCCAACATGTTGCTCTTTATTCCTTGGTTCAAGTACTACGTCACCGTCAATCCATGGCTGCAAAATTTGGACCATCGCTTCACCAGCCAGATCACCACCAGCATGTCGGACATAGCGCCGGCCGAACATTGCGCCAGCATCCTTCAGGAGATTGTCTCCCGCGCCAAGCATCACCCTGGCCGTGCACGGAAGGCCTGGCAAAGAATGGCACTTGTGGTGGCCTCTGTTTGAAATCGCATGGCAGAAAATCATGGAACAAGAAAACTTTCAATCGTACACATAAAAATATTTGCATGTATATATGTCTGTATTTACATACATATATACACGCTATATTCACACATTTTTAAGCATATATATGTATATGTACATATGCAAATGTTTATAGATATATATATATATATAGATGTATAATTACATGAAATATGCTAAATTCCAGAAAGGCACGCTGTCAGGTCCCCCGTTTTCCACGTTTCTGGAATACGGTGAATTATGAACATGCATTTACATGTCCACAAATTCATGTATAGCTACATTTTTTTTTGTAAATTTATATATGCATATTTACAAATAGACTGAATGTAAATTTACACACGCACACATATACGCATATTATGCATTCGCAGATGTATATATATGTATGCATGTACATATATATATACATAGATATATACATATATATATGAAGATATATACGTGTAAATATGTATATTTGTATGTATATATGATTGTATATATATATATGTATATACATGTATAATTATATTTATGTATAAGTACATACATGTATGTAATGTAATGTAATGTAATGTAATGTAATGTAGTGTGATGTAATGTAATTTAATGTAACGTAACGTAATGTAATGTAATGTGATGTAATGTATGTATGTATGTATGTACGGGTATGTATGTATGTAATGTAAAGTAATGTAAAGTAATGTAAAGTAATGTAAAGTAATGTAAAGTAATGTAAAGTAATGTAAAGTAATGTAAAGTAATGTAAAGTAATGTAAAGTAATGTAAAGTAATGTAAAGTAATGTAATGTATGTATGTATATTTCATTTACATCTACATATTTGCATTTACATAATATATGTATAGCTATTCTTTTAAATATGTTCATCTACATGTGTATGCATATTGACATATATATAAAAACGTAAATGTACAATTACATGTCAACATATGTACATTTACATTTACATATACGAATACGTATATCTGCACGCATATATACGCATATATATTTAAATGTGTGCATTTACGTTTGTATATGTGTATTTAGATATATATACATGTACATGTCTAGATATATGTACATGTATATATATATGTACATTTACATATATTTTCATTTGTATAGATATATATACATTTAAATTTATGTTTACATACATATGTGTAGATATATTTATATACATGTATACATATATATATATATATCTATTAATTTATGTAAAGTCACGTATATGTATATGTATATGTATATTTACATGTGTATATAGTTTGTTCACACATATATATATATATGATCCCGTGTCTCGTTTTCACGGCCGCGCCCCCCCCCCAACTGGGATGGATGTAAATACATACGCTATTTACATGCATACACATATAGGGACCATCACCATCTCGGGTGGTAGGGGGGACCACAAGACACTGAGCCATTATATATGTATAATAAATAGTATGTATATTTACGTATATATATATATTTATAAATATGTATACTTGCACTTTCGTATGTGTAAATATATTAACATATAGATATACATGTGTAAATATATATATACATATACGTAGATATACGCACACACACACATATATATATGTAGATGTATATATATATATACATATATATATATATCTAATTTTTGTGTATATATATGTATATGTATATGTATATGTATATACATGTAAATATATATATAAATATGTATATATATATATATATATATACGTATATATATATGTATATATGTATATACAGGTGGTGCCAGAATTATAGAACGGAGCCAGGAGTACAAAAGTACGGTAAAATACCGTACCTTCGTACTCCTCCGGATCCCGATTCCGCGCGTATTCGGATCCGTTATATAATTAAATTTCCCCGTCCCCGTTCTATAATTTCTTGGCACCTCCATGATATTTATTGCATATTTGTACATATACAATACATAATTACACATATACCGTAGATACCCTTCTTGGAAAACCCCAAAAAACGGGAACAAATAATTATAGAATGGAGAAAATTAATTATAGAATGAAAATGGGAAATGTGGGAAAATGGGGGAAAACACAATTATAGAACAACATAGGACGAACAAGAATTATAGAACGACGAAAAAAGTTAGGAGTAAGTTAAGATACGTTTTTTCCATACCTCCCGAGGAAAACAGAAGTATAGAACAACAGGGTACGGTAAATAACCGTACCTTCGTACTCCTCAACTTCCGTTCTATAATTCTGGCACCGACCACATATGTATATATGTGTATATATATTTATGTATATGTATACATATATATGGTATGTATTTACATACGTACCGGACACACACACATATATATATATGATGGCTGTTTATTTGCCAATAGAGTTGGACTCCAAGATTTTTTGAAACCGCCAAATAAGTTCAAATATTTGATTTTTCCCCACATCTTTGTGTGGGGTTCTTGTTCCCCACCTGCCAGGTGAGGGTTGTTAGATTTTATGTCAGTTGCCTGCTCCTCCTCTCCTCTCCTCTCCTCCTCATCTCCTCTCCTCCTCCTCCTCGTCGTCCTCCTCGTCCTCCTCGTCCAACCGCGACCCTCGACGCACAGTGGTCTCTGTCGGACCTCAACCACGACCATCCACGCCCAGTGTTCCCTGCCGGACCTCAACCACGACCATCCACGCCCAGTGTTCCCTGCCGGACCTCAACCACGACCATCCACGCCCAGTGTTCCCTGCCGGACCTCAACCACGACCATCCACGCCCAGTGTTCCCTGCCGGACCTCAACCACGACCATCCACGCCCAGTGTTGCCGGACCTCAACCGCGAGTATCCCCGCCCAGTGTTCCCTGCCGGACCTCGACCACGACCATCCACGCCCAGTGTTCCCTGCCGGACCTCAACCGCGAGTATCCACGCCAAAAGATATGCCACATAGAGTGCCAGAAGATATGCCAGATAGAATGTTAGAAGATATGCCAGATAGAATGCCAGAAGGTATGCCAGATAGAATGCCAGATAGAATGTCAGCTAGAATGCCAGAAGATATGCCAGATAAAGTGCCAGAATGTTTGCCAGATTGAATGCCAGCAGATTTGCCAGATAATATGCCAGAAGATATGCTAGATAGAATGCCAGATGGAATGCCAGAAGATTTGCCAGATAATATGCCAGAAGATATGCCAGATAGAATGCCAGATGGAATGCCAGAAGATATGCCAGAACATATGCCAGAAGATATGCCAGAAGATATGCCAGAACATCTGCCAGAAGATATTCCAGAACATCTGCCAGAAGATATGCCAGGTAGAATGCCAGAAGATATGCCAGATAGAATGCCAGATCGAATGCCAGAAAATATGTCAGATAGAATGCCAGAAGATTTGCCAGTAACAAAATGTATAAATGTCATGGTGGGGATCACACGAAGTAAAGTAATTTTGGGTTGTGCTCTCCCGCCTGCATTCCGCCGTCCCGCGCCCGCCCTCCCGCCCGCCAACTTACTCACACACACACAACTTGTCCACACACAACTTGTCCACACACAACTTACTCACACACAACTTGCCCACACACACACACACTTACTGACACACAACTTGCCCACACACAACTTGCTCACACTCACCCACAACTTGCCCACACACAACTTACTCACACACACAACTTGTCCACGCACTTGTCCACACACAACTTGTCCACACACAACTTCCTCACACACAACTTCCTCACACACAACTTACTCACACACAACTTGTCCAGCCCGCCAACTTACTCACACACACAACTTGTCCACACACAACTTGTCCACACAACTTACTCACACACAACTTGCCCACACACCAACTTACTCACACACACACAACTTGCCCACACACAACTTGCTCACACACAACTTACTCACCCACAACTTGTCCACGCACAACTTACTCACACACAACTTGTCCACACACTTGTCCACACACAACTTGTCCACACACAACTTCCTCACACACAACTTCCTCACACACAACTTACTCACACAAACAACTTGTCCACACACACAGCTTACTCACACACAACTTGTCCACACACAACTTACTCACACACACACAACTTGTCCACACGCTCATTCACACACACCTTACTCACACACAACTTGTCCACACAAAGCTTGTCCACACACAGCTTACTCACACACAACTTGTCCACTCACAACTTGCTCACAACTTGTCACACGTGGCAGGCGTGGCACTTGGTGACATGGATCATCACTTTGCGTGGCAGGCGTGGCACTTGGCGACATCGACCTTCACTTTGCGCGGCAGGCGTGGCACTTGGTGACATGGACCGTCACTTTGCGTGGCAGGCGTGGCACTTGGCGACATCAACCTTCACTTTGTGTGGCAGGCGTGGCACTTGGTGACATGGATCGTCACTTTGCGCGGCAGGCGTGGCACTTATGGCACTGGGCTGGCTCTGGTGGCGCGCTTGGTTCCCAGTTGACGCCGTTGTCGCCGCAGCTGTTGGCGAGGCAGGCGTGGCACTTGGCGACATCGACCTTCACTTTGCGTGGCAGGCGTGGCACTTGGTGACATGGATCGTCACTTTGCGTGGCAGGCATGGCACTTGGCGACATCGACCTTCACTTTGCGTGGCAGGCGTGGCACTTGGTGACATGGACGTGCAGTTTGCGTGGCAGGTGTGGCACTTATGGCACTGGGCTGGCTCTGGTGGCGCGCTTGGTTCCCAGTTGACACTGTCGCCGCGGCTGTTGGCGTGGCACTTGACGACATCGACCTTCACTTTGCGTGGCAGGCGTGGCACTTGGTGACATGGATGTGTACTTTGCGTGGCAGGCCTGGCACTGGGCCGGTTCCCAGTTGACGCCGTTGTCGCCGCGGCTGTTCGCGTGGCAGGCGTGGCACTTGGCGACATGGCCTTCACTCTGCGTGGCAAGCGTGGCACTTGGCGACATCGACCTTCACTTTGCGTGGCAGGCATGGCACTTGGTGACATGGATCGTCACTTTGCGTGGCAGGCGCGGCACTTATGGTACTGGGCTGGCTCCGGTGGCGCGCTTGTTCCCAGTTGACGCCGTTGTCGCCGTTGTCGCCGTTGTCGTTGCGGCTGTTGGCGTGGCAGGCGTCGCACTTGACGACATCGACCTTCAGTTTGTGTGGCAGGCGTGGCACTTGGCGACATCGACCTTCACTTTGCGTGGCAGGCGTGGCCTTGGTGACATGGATCGTAGCAAGCGTGGCACTTATGGCACTGGGCTGGCTCTGGTGCTTGGTTCCCAGTTGACGCCGTTGTCGCCGTGGCTGTTGGCGTGGCAGGCGTGGCACTTGGTGACGTGGACCTTCACTTTGCGTGGCAGGCGTGGCACTTGGTGACATGGATCATCACTTTGCGTGGCAGGCGTGGCACTTGGCGACATCGACCTTCACTTTGCGTGGCAGGCGTGGCACTTGGTGACATGGACGTGCACTTTGCGTGGCAGGCGCGGCACTTATGGCACTGGGCTGGCTCTGGTGGCGCGCTTGGTTCCCAGTTGACGCCGTTGTCGCCCCAGCTGTTGGCGAGGCAGGCGTGGCACTTGGCGACATCGACCTTCACTTTGCGTGGCAGGCGTGGCACTTGGCGACATGGACCTGCACTTTGCGTAGCAGGCGTGGCACTTATGGCACTGGGATGGCACTGGGATGGCACTGGGATGGCACTGGGATGGCTCTGGTGGCGCGCTTGGTTCCCAGTTGACGCCGTTGTCGCCGCCGCTGTTGGCGTGGCAGGCCTTTACTTTGCATGGCAGGCATGGCACTTGGCGACATCGACCTTCACTTTGCGTGGCAGGCATGGCACTTGGTGACATGGATCGTCACTTTGCGTGGCAGGCGTGGCACTTATGGCACTGGGCTGGCTCTGGTGACGCGCTTGTTCCCAGTTGTCGCCGCGGCTGTTGGCGTGGCAGGCGTGGCAGGCGTGGCAGGCGTGGCAGGCGCGGCAGGCGTGGCAGGCGTGGCACTTGGCATGCATACATACATACATACATACATACATACATACATAGATACATACATACATACATACATACATCCATACATCCATGCATGCATGCATGCATGCATGCATACATGCATACCATCTTTGCCACACATCATCTTTCACATATAAGTTTGTCCCACACAACTGTTTTTACTTCTCGATCCTTCACCACCTCCTTTGTCTTTCCTTCCTTCCCCGTCCCGCTACAACATTTGTTGCTCCTTATTGGAAGAAGTTGACATGTGGGGTTATCCGGTCCTTTATTTTTGAACCTTTCCTTCCAAACTCCGTGAGTTTGTTTTGGGGCATGGGGTCAACCCTAGATACCCCAAAAATGGTATTGTTCTCTCGGCCCAATTTGTTGAGAGGTGAAACCTGTTCGTTGGCTTCATGGGACATGGATTTGTCTGAGCATGGAGGATACTACAAAATGGCCATGGGAACAGTGAACATGATGATACATCATTGGATAATTTTTTCCCCTCAATTTTCAGACGAAACCACTTCAGATTACATCCTTCCCCAATGGCCAGCACCATGCGTTTTTTCGCCGAAAGGTGGATCTGTGGAGTTTTGTGCCACACTATCCTTCTCCACCCCCAGGGCGACGGTACGCCCTGGGTTTGCAGCAGGGGTATATCAACCCCTTGATGCAGATCCTGCTGATCGTGCACACAACACATGCCAACAGTGGCTGGGAATGCTCAACACTTTTTTGGTTTTGGCGGGGATGATGATTTCTATATATTATGTATAGGAATCCATATCAACCAAGCAGTAAAAGAGGATGACGTTTTTGGGAACTGCTCAAATCTGTGTGGTTCATGGAATAAATATGAAAGGGTACATAATCCGTCCACAGAAAATCATTCAAACCCCATGGTTTCCTCTGAGGCAGCGATGGCAACTCTACGGAGCAACATGTGGCGTCCAACAGCTGTCAGCTACCAATCTATCGGGTGATTCTGTGGTACAACAACCCCTACCACTTCCTGACGGCTTGGGTGGAAGCTTCCATTTCAACAGGTCGAATTGCAGAGGGATGAAATTGAGAAAGATAGGTTAGGAGGTGTAAATTGTAAATATATTATATATTGTATAAAAACACATATAATATGATATTTAATATGCTACTGTATGTACTTATATGATGTGCACACACACACACATATATATATATAGAGATATATATATAGTAGGCGCGGCGCAGGTGACACGGGACTTTGCGGCCGACTTATCTGAGGTTTTTTGGCATGTGACATGGGATTTATGTATCAATTTTGCTATGGGTCTTTTAATTACAAATCATGGGGGTTATGCGCCGACCTATCGGGCAGGTATTTTTCAATTTGTTGACAGATGACATGGAAATATTTGATCAAATTTGACAAGAATCTTGGGACTCCAGGAAAACACAGACGTCCAAGATGGGAAGTGGCAGATAATGAGATGGGAAGACGAATTTACCACAGGAGATGGGACATCCAAGATGGGAAGACGCAGGTAATGAGATGGGAAGACGAATTTACCACATGACATGGGACGTCCAAGATGGCAAGTGGCAGGTAATGAGATGGGAAGACGAATTTACATAGGAGGTGGGAAGTCCAAGATGGGAAGTGGCTGGTAATGAGATGGGAAGACGAATTTACCACAGGAGATGGGACGTCTAAGATGGGAAGTGGCAGGTAATGAGATGGGAAGACGAATTTACCACAGGAGATGGGACGTCCAAGATGTGAAGCGGCAGGATATGAAGCGGCAGGTAATGAGATGGGAAGACGAATTTACCACAGGAGATGGGACGTCCAAGATGGGAAGCGGCAGGATATGAAGCGGCAGGTAATGAGATGGGAAGACGAATTTACCACAGGAGATGGGACGTCCAAGATGGGAAGTGGCAGGTAATGAGATGGGAAGACGAATTTACCACAGGAGATGGGACGTCCAAGATGTGAAGCGGCAGGATATGAAGCGGCAGGTAATGAGATGGGAAGACGAATTTACCACAGGAGATGGGACGTCCAAGATGGGAAGACGCAGGTAATGAGATGGGAAGACGAATTTATCACATGACATGGGACTTCCAAGCAGGAGATGGGACTTCCAAGATTGGAATTGGCAGATAATGAGATGGGAAGACGAATTTGCCACAAGAGATGGGACGTCCAAAATGGGAAGACGCAGGTAATGAGATGGGAAGACGAATTTACCACAGGAGATAGGACTTCCAAGATGGGAAGTGGCAGGTAATGAGATGGGAAGACGAATTTACCACAGGAGATGGGACGTCCAAGATGTGAAGCGGCAGGATATGAAGCGGCAGGTAATGAGATGGGAAGACGAATTTACCACAGGAGATGGGACGTCCAAGATGGGAAGCGGCAGGATATGAAGCGGCAGGTAATGAGATGGGAAGACGAATTTACCACAGGAGATGGGACGTCCAAGATGGGAAGTGGCAGGTAATGAGATGGGAAGACGAATTTACCACAGGAGATGGGACGTCCAAGATGTGAAGCGGCAGGATATGAAGCGGCAGGTAATGAGATGGGAAGACGAATTTACCAAAGGAGATGGGACGTCTAAGATGGGAAGTGGCAGGTAATGAGATGGGAAGACTAATTTACCACAGGAGATAGGACGTCCAAGATGGGAAGTGGCAGGTAATGAGATGGGAAGACGAATTTACCACATGACATGGGACTTCCAAGATGCCGTCCCCAGGTTCGAGCGGGATGACAAACAGCGGGACGACAAATTTCGCAAAACGGAAAGGAATGGGGTCAACCACGGCGGGGGCGACAGTGGGGACAGCAGAATAAGGAAGAGACACAGAAGAATACGAAACGGGTGGGGAGAGAGTAAGGTGGAAAAATGTCTGGTGTGCGCTGTGTGTATGCACAGGTAGTTCATGCAACTCTATATACGAAGTTTAAGTTATTTAAGTTTAAGTTTAAGTTTATGCAAAGTCTTACCAGCAATAGCCACATACATATATGATGCATATACACACATATACACTCATACATAACTGCAGGCTAGCACTTAGAATATTGACGTATTCATCCTGGAGGATCCAGCGGGCTCCGTTCGAGGTCCGGGTAGAAATTTCCACAATATTCTATTTCCATTGCAATTAGAATATTCGATAATGAAGATATCAATAAAAACATTCCTTCTTGCACAATAGCTGCTAAATAGCTGCTACATAGCTGCCAAATTGTTACTAAATAGCTGCGCAATAGCTGCTAAATAGCTTTTGAATAGCTGCTAAATACGTGCTAAGTAGCTGCAATGGCTGCCAAATAGTTGCTAAATAGTTATTAAATAGCTGCTAAAAAGCTACTAAATAGGTGTCAAATAGTTACTAAATAGCTGTTAGATAGCTGCTCAATAGCTACTCAATAGCTAAAGAGCTGCTAAATAACTGCTAAATAGCTTCTAAGCTTCTAAATAGCTGCTAAATAGCTTCTAAGCCTCTAAATAGCTGCTAAATAGCTTCTAAGCCTCTAAATAGCTGCTCAGTAGTTGCTAAATAGTTGCTAAATAGCTTCTAAATAGTTGCTAAATAGTTGCTAAATAGTTGCTGAATAATTGCTAAATAGCTTCTAAATAGTTGCTGAATAACTATTAAATAGGTGCTAAATAGCTGCTAAATAGCGGCCAAGTAGCTGCTAAATAGCTGCAAAATAGTTACTGAATACCTGCTAAACAGCTGCTAAATAGTTGCAAAATAATTTCCAAATAGTTGCTGAATCACTGATAAATACCTTCTAAATAGCTGCTGAATAGCTTCTAAATAGCTGCTAAATAGTTGCTTAATAAGTGCTAAACAGCTGCTAAATAGCTTCTAAATAGTTGCTAAACAGAACGAGGAGGTGAATGGATTCGTGTGACTTTGGAATATTCTAACTGCTCATGTTTTCCGAATATTTTAAGTCAAGCTGTGTATCATTTTGGAATATTCTAACTGCTGGCGTATAATTTTGGATTATTCTAACTGCTAGCAGGTACTTATACACTCATATACTATCTTTGTTCATGTGGGAAGTGAAATGTACAGTGTGTGAGTTAGTTGACATGACATGTTTTGCATCTTTCAGAGCCCAAACAATTGCAGAGGTCCTATGTCGTGTGAATTTTTTCGAGGCACTTTACAGATGACACGGGACTTATGCATTTGTTCTTTTTTACTTTGCAGATGACATGGGAGTTTGCGTTTTTTTGGTATGTCCGACTACTCCCATGTCATCTGCAGGTACTATATATGTATATATACATATATGTATACATATATGCAAATATGTATTTATATACATATATATATATTTATATGTGTGTGTGTTTATATTTATATATATATATATGTATATACATATATACATATATGCAAATATGGTTTTATTAACACATATGTATATATATAGATGCTTACATATGTATATATATATAGATGCTTACATATGTATATATATATATGGCTGTGAGTCAAAATATAAAGCCCCGATCCATACCCTGAACCCACAGGACGATCCATACCCCCGATCCATACCAAAACGCAGGTGATCCAGACCGTTCCATACGTCTGGATCACCGCGGGCCGATCCATACCCGAATTTTGACGCAACCCCATATATATATATATATGTTTGCATATATATATGTATATATATATATATGTATGAATATATGTATATATGATATGTGTATATATATGTATATATATGTATACCGGCCGGCCAAAAGATAGAATATTGTACCCTTAGTGTGGACAAGATAGAATATCTCAAAAAGCCTAAAGACACATCTAGCACCCATAAGATAGAATATTCAGAAATTAAATATAATTAAAAGATAGAATATTCAGGCGGTCATTTATACAGATAATATAAAAAAAATATACGTATATATATATAAGGAATTTTCACAAAAGTTGGTTGTTTCATTTTATGGTAGCTTGGTTTATACTGGGAGTACATGGGGAGCTACTTGAGCAACTAATTATCTTAAATTATTATGGGTAGCAGAGATGTGGGCCTGGCGATGGCTTGTTGATGTATCCGCAGCCCATTTCTTTAAAGGAAACCTTTGCCATAATTCTGTGGCAATGAAGCGGCCGGCGATAAAGAGGCCGGCGTCAAAGAAGGTTCTAAAGAAACCAGCTGCAAGGACTGTGGTGGGTGAACTTGGGCGTGATGTTTGTGGGGTCTTTATGGGTGACTGCAATGTGTGCTGATTGCATTCTGGGCTCAAATTCCTTAAGCTGTTGATTTTGAAAATATCTTGAGATTGGCTAAACTGCAGTCAGTTCCAAGTCGCCTTTGCTGGCTCTACAAAATACAAGAAAGACTACCTCTATCTAGGAACTAGGAACTTAAGACTTCAAGACATCAACGGAAGTAGCATTGCCTTGCAAGTTTGAAAGCGATGCCAAGAGGCGTTCCACTGGCAAAACTCTTGGAGAGAAAATGCAGGTGTAGCAAAGTGGATTGTTTCCAGCAATTCGGTGACAGGGCGGATGATGTTCAAAGGGAACGGAACAGATTTCATGCCCTAGAAGGGTCCCGCAAAGACACTTGGAATTGATAGTGTCATATCAAGTTGTTCCCCACCTTCCAGGTGAGGGTTGTTAGATTTTATGTCAGTTGCCTCGTCTCCTCTCCTCTCCTCTCCTCCTCCTCGTCTCCTCCTGCCGGACCTCAACCACGATCATCCACGCCCAGTGTTCGCTGCCGGACCTCAACCACAATCATCCACGCCCAGTGTTCCCTGCCGGACCTCAACCGCGATCATCCACGCCCAGTGTTCCCTGCCGGACCTCAACCACGATCATCCACGCCCAGTGTTCCCTGCCGGACCTCAACCACGCTCATCCACGCCCAGTGTTCCCCTGCCGGACCTCAACCACGATCATCCACGCCCAGTGTTCCCTGCCGGACCTCAACCACGATCATCCACGCCCAGTGTTCCCTGCCGGACCTCAACCATGATCATCCACGCCCAGTGTTCCCTGCCGGACCTCAACCACGATCATCCACGCCCAGTGTTCCCTGCCGGACCTCAAACATGATCATCCACGCCCAGTGTTCCCTGCCGGACCTCAACCACGATCATCCACGCCCAGTGTTCCCAGTGTTCCCAGATAGAATGCCAGAAGATATGTCAGAAGATATGCCAGAACACATGCCAGAAGATATGCCAGATAGAATGCCAGATAGAATGCCAGAAGATATGTCAGAACAGATGCCAGAAGATATGCCAGAAAGAATGCCAGAAGATACGTCAGAAGATATGCCAGAACACATGCCAGAAGATATGCCAGGTAGAATGCCAGAACATATTCCAGAAGATATGCCAGATAGAATGCCAGATAGAATGCCAGAAGATACGTCAGAAGATATGTCATAAGATATGCCGGAACATATGCCAGAAGAAATGCCAGGTAGAATGCCAGAAGATTTGCCAGTAAGAACATGTATAAATGTCATGGTGGGGATCACACGAAGTAAAGTAATTATTTTTGTTTTGGGCCCAATCAAAGAATCAAACAGTTGACTTTACTAGCACCATCACATTGTAGTCATTTCAGGAACATGTTTTGTATGTTTTTGTTGTTACCCGTGAACCCGACTCTGATGTTTCTGGTCACAACTTATGATAAGGAAGCATTGCTGAAACGATGGTACAATTTCGATGACAGTCGGGAGTTCTCGAATCAGGCAGAACATGATGACCTTCCGCAGATTCTGTGGGAGACTGACTCAGAAGCATCTGAAGGGTTGCTGCTGGAAAGCTGCTCAACCAGTGATGAGGATGATGGAATATTGATGTCCACTCCTCCTCACATCGATGACAATTTACTTCTAGCAACTGACTCTGAAGATGGTAACATGGTTGGGGAAGCCCCTGTTGCCAAGAGAAGAAAGTATGCTGAGAGATCAACAAGTGGAACTTTCGGTCTTGAATTTCTTTCAAAACCAGTTTGTCGGGATGCACACAGCAGACTGTATGGAATTGGGTCCAGTTCTATGCAAAGACTGCGTGCAGGGGAGCATGTCTATACCATGCATCAAGGCCGTTTGAGTGAACCCAAGCATCCAACCACAGGCGTGTCTCTGAGACGGAATCCCACAAGTATGAAATGGCCAAATGTGTTGACATTTTTCTGGTATTTATGGATCTCATGCGCCGAGATTTTACCTGTGAAATTCACAATGCCGTGTGAAGCATCGGGGTCACGTCAGTTTTATGAGAGCAGCCTGACCCAAGATCCAGAATTCCAAGAACGCTATGTGAAAAACTTTTTGGCTTGCATTGAGAGAAACTATGATCGTGCTCCGGTACTTTGGAGAAATTAGATATGATACATGACTTTTCCTTCAAGGTTCAATATGTTTAGATGTTAACCATAGCTGTAGAAATGTTCTTTGTTGCGTTTGGGGTATTGATATTGTTCGGGCTGAAGCCTGTGCTTTATGTTTTTCAACTTGCCAAGGTGTCACACGGAGGCCCTGGAACTTTTGAAGGGCCCAGAAGATATTTGGAATGGCAAAAGCCAGTGGACTTGTTCATTCAATACCAGCAGTTCTGTGAATCAAATGGAGAGCCATCTGCAGCTTTTTCGACCTTTCGGAGAATGATGAAAAAACTCTTCAAGACTCATCTCAGATTTCGAGACAAGGGAAGTTTTGGACAGTGTGATGTGTGTCACAAGCTTCGCCAACGGATTAGCAAGGCAACCACCAAAGCATTGAAAACTTTGGCAACTGAACAATACTCCAAACATTTATTGGCACAGTGGTCGGATCGAGTGTTTTATTGGAACCTGAGAAGCATCTCCAAGCTATACTTTGTGCAATCATTGCATTTCTCACGGACTTTGACATCTGATTTGACAACATCCATTGTATGTCTTATACAGGATGGAATGGATCAAGCAAAACTGAGAGTTCCGAGATGGGGATATGATAGACACACGAAGGCTGCAGAAAAGCTTTACCGTCCTGCCATTCACCTGGTGGGTAGTTGGCTTCATGGCTACAAACTGCATTTAGCACTGTCGGATGAGGACCAGAAAAAAGACTCCCAGACATCAATCGAAATGATCATCCGGGTGCTTTCAGACTTTGTTGCCAACACTGGACAAATGGCATTGGGCTTCCATCTGCAACAAGATAACTGTGCTCGGGAGGGCAAGAACAGATTTGTCCTCAATCTCATGCTCATCTTAGTAGTGATCGGCGCCTGCCGATTTACTTCGATGGGCTTTTTGAGGTCTTCACACTCACATGAAGATATCGATCAGGCATTTGGCCAAGTTGCCAGATTGATCATGGGGAAGAGTTTTGGATCAGCAACTGAGTTGATCAGCATCTTGGAGACAGCAATTCAGTCTGGGCAACCATCAGAATCTTCAGGACGCATCCGCGGCTCAGTCGCCAATGTCTTCAAGTTGGATCAAATATCAGTTTGGAAATCGTTTGTTCGACAGACTGGTATCAGTTTCAAGGGACTTCGCCATGTGCACTACTATCGATTTTGCCTCCGACGTGACATGGGTTCAGATGTTTTGGATTACGTTCGTGAACTGGAAGAGTTGCGGCCAGCATGTGACCCACATGGTGATGATATCTTTATGATAACAAAACGGTGGCTTGCAGACAATGAAGTACAACGTGCTGTGTGCGTGATGTCACAGGCAACTGCCCAGCAATTTCGAACAGGGTTTGCACCTCCTTCTGGAATAGCCCCTCGACGACGGATCGGGGATGCCATTGTGAACAACATCAAGAAGAGAGTTCCCATTTGTCAGAAGACTGGGGAGTTGAATGCAGAGAGTGCTGCATATTTGCTCAAGTGGTCTCAGCACACCTTGGCTCAGGCTCCAAAGCCTGAAGCCTATGACATACTTTCTCACAGATGGTCTGCAGCCATGAAAGGTGAAATCTATCACGTGGGCCGGTGGCGCGCCCCACGTCGAATGAAACATTTCGATTTGGCTTTGAATGGAAATGATGGTGATTGCGCTAGCGATGAAAGCTCTGGTTCGGAAAGAGATCTTGCTCTTCCGATTGGATTCGAAAGCTAGCTCGCGAACTTGCAGCGAAAAAAAGATTTCAGTCTATGAGATTCTAGCCACTGTTTTATGACAGTCTTTTGGGAATAGCTTTGGTCCCACCAGTGCATGATTCTCATGGGGATTCATGGGAAAGGTTTCAGATTTATAGCATGACTCATAATACCCAAATTCCTTTTGGATTTTTTCAAGGGGAACAGTTTTGAAACATGCTGTTTGTCGGAACTCTGCCAAACAAAGTTTGCGGTTTTTGTTTGGTTGAAGTATCAGCTGGGTTCTCTCAGGTCCATCGGGGTTCCACGGTCACATTCCATGAAACAGCAACAGTACCTGGTTTGTTATGAAAAACATTTAGAGAATTTAGAAGGGTGTCTGTGTGGTTGTATGTACTTGTTTGGGGATCATTTGAACTTACTTGGGAAACTGCTCAACTCCTGTGTGCCTACAAGTTGGTTCTATAATTCCACACTCAAAAGGGCAGACCTTCGTTCCAGGACTGAAGACTGTGGACATCAGGAAAGCGAGGACTGCGGAGAATTGCTTATGAGTTCTGATGCTGAAGGCTTGGAACCTCCAGTGCTGCCACATGATTAACTCTTGATCTTAAACCCGGTATCTCTAGTCACTCAAACGCATGAGCCGTAGGTTAAGGGGTACTTTTCTAAACCACCCAGTTCACTTGAGCTACCCTTTTTTGATAAATGTCACAGCGTCTGTCAAGGCATCGCTTGCCTGGCAGGTGAACCTGAAGCATTGCTACTGGAGTCGGATGCTGACGCAGAACCCATTGCTGAAGATGGTGATTCGAAACCATCTGTTTATGGCAAACTTCCACCTCTACAGGGCGAAGTGGGTGTTTCTAGTCTGTTACATTATTTTTTGGGGATATGTACTGTTGGTTCCAATGACTATAGATGCCTGATAATTATTGGGTTCAGCATTGTTCATCCATTGGGTTCATTGATCACAACATGTTGTTGAAAATGGAACCTAGGTAAAAGCGTTTGTGGATGATTTCGTTCACAACACGGCCTTCTCTGACCTGCGCAAGAAGATGGCCAACCAGTTGAGAAATTATGACTCGATCAAAGTTGGTTCTATGTTCACTGGTTGGGGCGTTCTGGAAATGGTCATGTCATGTCTCCAGCGCGAATGGAACGATGCAACGCCAGCATCACCTCTACAGGCTACGGTGTTGCATGCTCAACTATGTAGCGGTAATCTAGCCAATCAGTTTCAAGTAATCGTTGACAGAACGCCATTCATACTTAGTGATCTTTTACTTGATCAAATTGGGAAAAGGTGGACACATGTAGCATTCTAAGATCCGAGTTCCCATTGATGGTGAATGGAATATGTGTGAACTACTTTGATCCAAGTTTTGGTTGGGGCCTACTACTATGACATTGAAACAGAAAGTTGAATTTGATAATTGCAACATCCACATGAATATAGTGCAAACAGGGTCAATGTCCTAATACTAGCCCCAATGTTTTGTAGCAATTTCCTTATGGTCTCTTTGGGCGGTTATTCTGATAGCCTTACTCTCACAACAATGGGAACCCTCAATCTCAGAAACAGCAGCGCCCTGCACAGGCAAGATTGGCCTTCATGACGGAGATCTGTCCTGGAAAGCAGGAGTACTTGCGGGAACGGTTCGTTGACGTGCCCATGTTCTCGGATGCCAGTGATCTCTCCAAGACACATGCCAAAACTGCTGATGGTCTAGCGCATGCTGTTCCAAAGGCGCCCCAATTACACACAGAAAACCATGCAGCCTATCATCAAACCAAAGAAAGCCTGGAGAGATCTAGTTGGATTCAGGATCCATGTGTTGATTTCATTTTATTTTTCCATGGTGAGTTAGTTTCGCCTCGTGACAGGTGGATCTACTTGTGGGAGGTTTCCCATGCAAAGACTTGTCGCCATTGACAACGACCCCTGGTAGTGTGGTGGACCCAAACTGCCAGTCGGGCAAGGGCTACTTGGGGGTTGAAGGGTACATTGAAAGGCATCGTCCCAACATGGTGTTGTTGGAGAATGTGCGCACCCTCTTTTCCAAACGGAAAAAGGAAAAAGGCAAAACACCGTTCCTCATATTGCATTCAGTACTATTAGGTTTTGTCAATCAATGGTGGGGAAACTGTTTACTCTGATGGTGAATAATAATGCTGTTGATGGAAAAAACATAAAGATCATGATCCATGCATGGCATGTAGTTGGGTATCAGTTTTGCCATGCCTGTCAGAATCATCATGATCATGAGCAGCAGGACCGTCATAATTTAAATAACAATTACCATCATCATCATCACCATCAGAATCTTCATCAATCTTCATCCTCATAGCCATCATCATCCATGCTGTTTTGCAATGACATGCTCCCAGGTATCTAGTTGAACCTCAAAAAAAATAGAACATAAATCAATTCCAAAATGACAGTATGACCGACCCTTACTTACCCCAATCTTACTGTATGATCAGGCAGGTTTAAACTGTCAATGGTAATTATAAGTTATGTATTCCATTCTCAAGTTAACCCATCATAGGCATATCCAGCCAGGTATGAAAAGATCAAATCAAGGCTGGAGCGCCTGGGATACCATGTGGCTGCGGATTTGTTCAACACGGCGGACTACGGTTTACCCCAACAACGGCGACGGGCTTGGGTCCTTTGTGTTCAAACATCTCAGCTGGATGATCCAAAAGTTCTTACCTCGGATATGACCCAATTCAAGCGGTTGAACGTCCCTCTTGAAAACATCCTGGATCCTCGTGGGCCCTTGTGTTCTTCCAAGTGTGGCAAGGGGCATGGCAATTCAGGGGCCAAATGGAAAGATGGTTTCAAAGAGCAATGCGAAATCTTTGGGAAGGACCGGAATGTTGATCAAACATGTCAAAGGTCTAAGTTTAAAAAGCCATCATCATTTACTTGTATCATATGATAATTTGTGCAATTAGGCAAGCAGCTCTGTTAGATAATATATGATAATATTCGAAGGAAGTTTAGAAGTCAAACTTCCGACAATATGGACAGATGAAAAGCAGAGCAGGGAAGAGGCAGAGAGAAGAGAAAGATTAGAAGAGAGAAGATTAGAAGAGAGAAGGTCAGAGAAGAGAAAGAGTCAGCAGAAAGAAGATGCAGATGTGCGAAAAGGTAGGAAAGTCGCGATTCACTGCGTTTTTCCAATGATTTTTGGCTCCGGAGGGTCGAAAAGTAGGCTCGCTAAAGCGGCGGGTGCGGAGCCAGCTGGCCAGATGAGACATGAAAAAGTGCACGCCGTTGTGGCGCGAAGCACATTTCCAAGTCAAAGTGGACAAAACACCAGAGGAGCGGACCACTTTTGGAAGAGCTCTACACTACACTACACTACACTCCACTACAGTACATGACACTAGACTACACTACACTACCTTCCGCTACACTTCACTACATTACACTACACTACACTCCACTACACTAGAAACTACACCTACGACTACACAACTACACTCCACTACACTCCACTACATTACACTACACTACGCTACATTCCATTACACTCCGCTACATTACACTACATTACACTGAATGACACTACACCAAAGATAGACAGATAGATAGATAGACAGATAGATAGATAGACACATAGATAGATAGACAAGAGTGAGAGAGATCAATCGCCTTTCAGTCCAGCAGTGGCTTTGCCCTGCCATGTCTGATTCACAACAACCAATCTCTCCTATAGGTTTCCTCTTTTTGAAACTTCCGCCACCGCCTTGTGCGGTACTACTGGTATTATTCTGTTCGCTTCCGCTACCTCCCTTGTAGCAATAGGAATCTGAAGCCCCATTCGGACCAAAAACCACAACCAGCTTTATTATCTAGATGTAAAATGTCTTTCATTCCATTGTTTGCCAGGAGAAACTGGAAAGTCGGATCAAAGCCCTTCGCCCTTTAGCGTCCAGTTGCAGTGAGCGAGAACTTGCAATCCTGGCCACGGCTGTGGAAGACATTTACCAGTCACACCAAGTGGATGCCATGAAGCAAACATGTATTATCCAAGTGGAAACTCGGATTTCTGATAATTATTCTATTTCACAATTATCTCAAGGTCCATCATCATTGCCCTCAAGATTTCAAATGGGAATCCCTGAATGGGTGAAGAATAGTCAATCATTGTCAAAGTTGATATACAAATTAATAAACCCCCACTCACTTGTAGGCATGTTTCTTATCCCACTGATGGTGTATGATAATAAACTTGCTGGTATAATATATGATACGTTATGCAAATTAACGACTTATATACTGTCTTTGGTGTTTTCTTCCATCCAAGGACCAGAACTTCGGGCGATCTACTTTTTGCAGGTCTGACCTCTCTACAACGACATGCGTCATTCCGGGAGGCAAGTACTTGGTCACTGGCAAAGGTGGATTCAGGCAATTGGTTGCAAAGGAGACCACATAGTTGACCACCAAACTATGTTGCAGTAAATTGTTCTAGACACCCATCATTCATGAAGGTTCCAATTGCACAGTACAAAAGAATCATGTAAGGAACTAATTTTTCCCAACTCATGACTGAATTTCTTTCCAGAGCATAGCCGGGCTGCATGATGTGAATCGAATGCCAGGAGCTCGCCTGTCTGCAAGGCGTTGGTCCCAGGGAATGGCATCACTTTCAGATGGCAGATGAGACCGATCCAAGCATGCGCGACTTCATTGGAAACGCGTTTCTCAGCTTTTAGTTCAACTATCATGTTCTCATGAAGGTTGCCACATATGAGAATTTTGAATGAAATATCCATACAGATCCATACAGCATGAAATCAATATAAGACCTGAAATTATCTGAAATGGGAAATGATATAATAGACAGAAAATAAGTTAAACGCTACCAACACACATGTCCTATCTTGTTTAAACACATGTAGCCAGCTGACACTCCATGTGACCTCAGGTTCTCTGTCCCGGTGCACCTCGCTGCTTTGGTGTCGATCCTGTCCAATTGCAGACCTCCACGTCCTTGATGCGGTGGCAGTCGGATTGGAAGTGGTTGATAACAATCAAAATTAGTGTTACATATGCTTTTTCTGTGGGGTCAGCTTACTCCACGGTGCTGATCACTAGCAATTAGATTAGATGAAGAGCAATGATGCTCTTCTTGCATGCGAAGTATTCCATCTCCTGTGCCCTGTACGTGTTAAAAAGACCCAGCTATGATATTGGAAGCAAGATGTTGCAAGATGACATGGTTCGATCTTACTTGATGTATGTAACAAATGTACTAGTAGTTGATTTGAGGAAGGATTAATTTATATACAACATTCAGTCCTGAAGAAGAACTCAGTTCATGATTCGTTGACTGGGAACAACTGTTTAACTTGGTGTTTGTGCAACCACCACTGGCTACTTGATTTCTCGCAGGCCCCTTGTTGTCAGGAAGGGCCACTCTTGGGCTAGTAGATTTGTGTGACTTTTTCTTTTTACGTTCAACCCGCTAGCCATGCCACCGAAAAAACGCCAGAAGACTGCGGCCAACAGCAAGGTTTCCCAGCCACAGACAGTCTCTGAAGTGGCGCCAGCCCGCATGTCTTTGCGGGAGTGGATTGGCCAGGTCTACCAAGGAAGACATGGTTTTCCTGAGCAACGGAAGTGGCCGTTGCTGGATGGCGGCACCTTCTTAGATATGGTTCAACGGGTTTGGAGTGACGAAGACAACTTGCAGTCTGAGAGTTTGCGGATGGTGCAAAAGCTAGGAATTATGGATTCCAGTGCTACCGAAGAAGACTTTCAAGCGAAGTATCTTACCATGAAGGACTCCCAAATTGTGTTCAAAATCCATGGAATGTTGGAATACCAATCATTTGTGGGCTTCTAAAAGTTGATAGATTGATAGATCAAATCACCAGAATTGAGCATAATAAAACCGATGCTTCCCATCAAATAGTAAATAACGGTGGATACCCTGCAAACTTTACCGGGCTTAGCCATTCGCTGATTCCAGGAAATGCCGCCCCAACCCGGTGCATTCTTCACCACCAGCATCCTCCAGTATTCTTTCTCCAACGAGAGCTTCTGGCGCATTCCAGATATGGCATCGGTCCTGGACATTGCAAAGGCCATCAGCATGATCGGCTGGAAAGAGGCCAGGGAAACATGGGTGACCAGAACCTACTGGCTACATGGGTGCCATGGCATTTCTACTTAATCTTTTCAATGCAGCTGATTTCACATAGAATGCCTCGCCACCCCAATGCATATTCTTGTGGAAACCTACCTCGCCGCCCCGACCCAGAAATCTTTCGGGGAATACCTCGCCGCCCATCCATCTCGCTACCCTGAACATCCCCCTGAAAAGGCTTGGGTGGTGAGCTCTTCCAGGAAGAGCTCGCCGCCCGAAGAGTAGAAGACCCAGGGTCCAAAACATGGTCTGAGAGATTGGCTTTAGAGATCTTTAGGCAACTTTAGATAGACTATTCATGGCTAATTTTTGGAATGTTGGCCCATGATGAACCTAAGATATGGCAGGGGGGGGGTGGTGAGCTCTTCCAGGAAGAGCTCGCCGCCCAAGGGTCTCTCCCCAAACATCCAGAGTGGTGAGCTATAGGCTTGGCGAGGGGAAGTGAGCTTCTTCAGAACCAAAACCCCTGAAGTATCCCTAAGCAAATACCTCATCTGCCCCCCAAAAATCTTTTGAGGAAATCCTGTTTGGGGAACTTTGCAATATTTTGACGTGTTCTGGATTTTGCATCTCATACATTTATCTTGGGGCTTCCCTTCAAAACTTGTCCTGAGATATCCATTGGAATACCACCAAATGATTGCTCATCCCAAAGTCCTCGAAGATTGAGTTGAACCTCTGCTCATACCTTGGGGTAACAGCTCGAGGCAGGAATGAATGAAGGACTGCTACCAATTTTACTTCTACCATTTACCAAAACATTGCAACACACGAAGATTAACTAACATGACATATCATATCTAGTAAACTCCTTTTCAGGGAATGAATGCTGATGATCATTGAAACTATTTGGAAACCAAAAGCTAAGAATTCATAAACCGCTTCAACATCGCCAGGGCGAGTGCATTGGCATGCGCATGATGGATGATGACACCTCGGATCCCAAATCCTATGTGCAGAATGCCCTTCGTTTTGACGATGGAGGGATGAAAACCCTGGCCGCTGCTGTTGTGTGGTGCGGCTTGGTCTACTATGTCATGTGTTTGAAAGAAGACGACTTGGCCCACCCTGCAATTGCACAACTTGCTCGGGGGCTCCTAGCGCTGCCCACTTACTATAAGACCCAGGGTGACGAGGCCATCGACATGATCGGAAGGATCATAAAACAGAACGTGGAAGCCAAGAAACAGGCTGTGAGTAGCTATGAGTGGAGCATGATTCTCAAACGGATGATTGCCAATGCCAAAGCTACCAAAACAACACTTTCCCTCCAAGACGCCATCAACTTGTACAATTCGAACCCGGAAGTCTCTGCTCATGGCATTGGCACTGGAAAGGACTGCATCATTCGGGATGCCAATTTCACTTGCTCTTATTGCTAGCCATCTTGCAATCTGGAACATAAAACATGGAGCGCTGGAATCAAATAAGCTATTCCATGCGGGTTAATTCATTGTCTTTCAGAAGATAAGTTACTTATAAGTTGATTCGTTTTGAATAAATCTCAATAGTTCATAGTACCTGTTTGATGCTCTGATGCTTTTAAATATCGTACTTTGGGTGGTTTTATATTTGTGAAGTTGCACTTCGTATCAACAACAGTTATGACAAACAACCATTTGAAGCCCTGCAGGACAAAAGCGGTTCTGGAAGCTTGGTCATTGACACGAAGAAGCTCTACTGCATCAAACATTGGCTTGAAGCTACCTCTGATGCTGCCCATGAACAAGTTCAAATCTCCTTGCGGGATGGTGCTTTCAACTATGGTCCATGGGGTGAGCCCTTGAGCCAACTGAAGTTTCTCTTCGTGGATTCAGTTGCCAACTTGGCGCCACTGACCCAAGCGGATGTCATCCCAGCGAACCAGGAACCGACTATCTCCATCAACTGGCAGCTGCCACTAGATGGCAGAACCCAGGGGGCTTTGTTTGAGAGAATCAGGAAAGCCTTTGAAAAGGCAACTGCAATCATTGATTCCCCTCAAGACCGAAAGCGCTACAGGCTGTCAGAAGAGGAGCTCTACTCCATGAGAAACCTGATGTGCCTATGGATGCAGATCAAGGACTTCTGTTCTACCAGGATTTCCAACTTCCAGGACTTTGACTCCCAGATCCTCTCCGGGAACACCAAGGATCATGAGTTGCATGCGCTCCTAGAGTCTCGACCTCCCCAGTTTGGTGTTAGCATGCTACCATCATCGCAACGTGAAGCCCTGGAAACGGTTCGACAGAAAGAGGAAGGTCAAAGCCTCGAGGTTGAAAAAGAAAGACTGGCAGTTCGAGATGCACGATGGACATTCTTTCAAAGTGCACTCTTGAGAGATCAGGAAAAGCTCAAGGTTGTGGAGGAAGCACCCGGAAAGATTGCAGCGCTTCGGCATCGCAAGCAAATGCAGTGGCGGCTCACCCAGGCAAGTTTGGGAGAAAAGGTCATCAAGGGCTACAAGGAGAAGCTTCTGAAGTGCGACCTAGTTTCCAAACCGGAGCTGGCACAGCAAAAGATCAATGAGTACCGGACTTTTGTGGTTCCTTGGATGGATTTAATATGTTTTAGTTAAATCCGGTTTTTGTGTGATTGTTACTTGTTACTTTGTTTTATTTTCATCGATGTTGTTGGGTTTCAGGATGTTTTGTGCTAGAACCCAAAGTTTTGACTACAGTAATTTAATATGTTACCCTAATACCTCACCAAAAGCTGTAACCTGGATCTTTCCTAAAGCCTGCTTTCTTTAAACACCTGAGGCTCAGTCTTGCAGTTGCAAGCTGGAGGATGTCCACACGATCTGCATTGTCGACCTCAACATTCCTGGTGCAAAGAACTCGGAGGCAGTGAATGAGTTGTGCTCATGCCTGCAGTTTGTAAATGACCTGGCACCTGCAAAAAACATCGGTCTACTTGAGCTACCTGAGATCGCTCGAAAGTCGTCCAAGCGAGGCCTGTGCGACGAGGAGAATGAGATCCAAACTTGTTTGTGGTCCCTCAGGCAAGGGTGCGACACACGATGGATCTGCCCATTCAGTGTCCATCCAAGCGCTGAGCAACAAACAAATCGGAGGCTCATTCAGTTTCAAACATTTTGAAATTTTGGTTATTCCCCACCTGCCAGGTGAGGGTTGTTAGATTTTATGTCAGTTGCCTCGTCTCCTCTCCTCTCCTCTCCTCCTCCTCGTCTCCTCCTGCCGGACCTCAACCACGATCATCCACGCCCAGTGTTCGCTGCCGGACCTCAACCACGACCATCCAACCTCAGTGTTCCCTGCCGGACCTCAACCACGACCATCCACGCCCAGTGTGCCCTGCAGATAGAATGCCAGAAGATTTGCCAGATAGGATGTCAGAAGACATGCCAGATAGAATGCCAGATAAAGTGCCAGAATGTTTGCCAGATAGAATGCCAGAACATATGCCAGCAAATATGCCAGATAGAAAGCCACAAGGTATGCCAGATAGAATGTCAGATAGAATGCCAGAAGGTATGCCAGAACAAATGCCAGCAACTATGCCAGATAGAATGCCAGAAGATATGCCAGATAGAATGTCACATAGGATGTCAGAAGATGTGCCAGATAAAGTGCCAGAATGTTTGCCAGATAGAATGCCAGAAGATATGCCAGAACATATGCCAGCAAACATGCCAGATAGAATGTCAGATAGAATGCCAGAAGGTATGCCAGAAGGTATGCCAGAACATATGCCAGTAAATATGCCAGGTGGAATGCCAGATCGGATGCCAGAAGATATGTCAGATAGAATGCCAGAAGATTTGCCAGAAACAAATCGATAAATGTCATGGGGGGAATCACACGAAGTAAAGTAATTTCAAGAGTATCTCAACGACTTTATTGTGCGATAACATCATTAGTTGGGAGAAGGACAGGTGTTATTAGTATCATTTAGGATCAATCTATGTGTAAAGGTTTCCTTGCCCACCAGCAAGAGTTATAAGAGTTGACACCATGATGTTGCAAGCATACAAATGGACCACCCAACTCAGAACCCATACTTTAGATGAACTTTTTCGTGACCAGTACCTGTACCTAAGAAATATGCACTTCAATTTCAAATCCTTTTACAGTCACTCATTCCCTGCACAGGCGGTTCAACTCTGGGCGTTTGGTTTGCAACATCGACGCAGTTTCTGACAATGTGTTCCTGACCTCCTCTGAATTGGGAACCTGTGGGCGACCTTTGGTGGATGAGTCTGACATCCAGATTCCCTTGAGCAAAGAGATGTTCTTGCCAGAGAGCCTGGACTGTGAAATGGATTTGCGACAAGCTGAACGGCAGCGACCATCTGTGGAAGCTACCACCGCACAAAAAGGAGTTGGCCGTTGGATTGCCCTGCTCAACTCTGCCCTCACCGTGACTGAGGGTGCCCTGAAAGACAAGCCTGTCATTGTTGTGAATTTGACTGGTTATGTCGAAGATGTTGGTGTTGCTGTGCCTCGGCCTGTGTCAAATGAAACGCGTTGGAGGGTGAAACTCTTTAATTTGGTTTGTGGAATTTAGCAAACCTTGGCCATGAAATCAACTGCAACTTTAGCTAATTAAAAATCCCGTGCCTCTTTGGACCCTGCATGTTGCGCATAGCAGCAAGGCAATGCAAAGAACAAAATGGTTCAAGTGAGTTGGGAGTTTTGGCAATTGGTGGTTCAATTATTAAGTAATCAATTTATTTTGGGTTTATCTTGTTTCACCGTTCATTGGGTCGCTATCTCTACAAAATGGTATGTACAAAAACCATCAAAAACCATGATAGGATGAAGAAATCAACTCGATCCAGATTGAATCAATCTCAGGTGTTCAACATGCGTCTCCGCGACATCGAGCTGAAGGGTGGCTTTCACATGGAGAACCTCTACTACCAGAGTGTTGGATGGCTATCCAAGGACAGCTTCGGGCACATGCGTTTGGAACGGGACCTGACTGATGCCTGGGTTCAACGACAATTCGAACATGGTGGCCACAAGTTCTCGATGGAGGCTCCTGACCTGAGTGAAGCTGAACTGGCTTCGATCCCTGGTGCGAAGGCTTCCATGGGGAACTTGGATGCCCTCCAGTTCGAGGTATTGGAACGGGTCAATGACAAGATGGTCATCAAAGCTGATGAGCGAAGGCTTCTAGACTTGGATCAATCTAAAACAAAAGCAAATTGTTGTTTGTAAAGAAATTGTAAGAGACTTTTTATAAAGACTTGTTTTTTAATTGTTGTTATTTTTTGTGTTGTTCTTATGTTGTTTCAAGTTTTGCATCATTTTTGAAACACCAATTCCCAAGTAGCCATTCTCATTCATCCATCATCCGTCTTATCAAGCAAGGTTCTGGATGGCTCAAGCGGGGGAGATCAAAACCACCTTTGAGAACTTGAAGGAACACCACATGGAGTTGGTGGGCCATCAGCAGCAGCAGCAGCAGCAAGTTGCAAACAACAGTGAGGCAGAGAATGCAGGTTCCACCCAAGACCCCACCATCCCGGTTGTTCAAATGGAGTCCCTTGCCAAGTTGGAGTCCGAGGTTGGTGTGGAACATCGTGCTCCATCGGAGATAGCGAGTGTGGAGCTCTTGAGGGGCAAAGATGGCAGCCTGTGGTTGCTGAGTTCGCAGAACAAGAGTGTGGGGAAGCACCAGCTTTTGGGTGGATATGGCACTGGCCAATGGCTCACTGCCAGTGAGTGTGCTGACCCTGGGATTCCCTTCACTGTGGCTGAGGGTGACAAAACAATCATCCAATTGGATGAGTCAAGTTTCGGGGCTGAGGGTGCACAAGGTGTGAGCACCCTGACGATCTACAAGCTTTTGTTGCGCGCAGAGACTGAGAAACAAATTGTTCAACACAAACTGAGCTTTCTCAAGGTGGAGCGCAAGCAGGCTGTTGAGGCCGGGCAGGATGGCTTCGAAATCACTTTGCGCCAGTCCATGGTCTTCAAGTGTGTGAAGGACCCAAGGGCTGGTGAGACTGAACGGATTTCTTGCAAGAACTTCTTCAGCAAGTTCGTTGGCGCTTTGCCATCATCGGTGTTGGCCGCAGTGAGGTATCGTTTTGAGAGAGTTGGTCAAAACTTTAAGGTGCAGCGACCATATGTCATCACACGTCGTGCGGTCTCCTTAGAGAAAGACAAGCCACAAAAACTGGCTTGAGTGGGTAGGGTCTGGGTTCTGAGGCAGCAGGGTGTGAGAAACTCCTAGAAGACACTGTTATACCTGACCTAATTCCCAATAATGAAACCTACCTGTTGTACCCACTTCTTTTTTAGCAACTTGTATGCCAGCCTGCCAAAAGAATCCAATTTTGCAATGCGAAAATCAAAGCACCGATTATGACAAAGACTGCAAATAGAGTTTGAAATAGATTCAGGTTATCAACTAAAAGAGCTCGTCCTTCTCATTTGTGGTTGTCCTCCAGCTTTTCAGCATTTTGTGAAACAGCAGTTGTCAAAAGGCGGTGCAGAACACTTAGATAGAGAAAGGTTGCGACGTCCAAAACCTGTCCAACTCACCGGGATAAGTTGACTGCGTCATACAGCCTGATGGTTGGCAGTTGAAAGCTCAAAGACTGAATGAAAAGAGAAAAAAAGGGTTGGCTGAGAGTTTGCTCACAAGAGTGATTGAAAACACACGGACTTAAACAAAAATCTGAATTTACAGAAGTACAAAACATGACATGAATCTACAATTCAAGAGACTGAGTTTTCCAACAGACTTCGAAACCTTACTTGGTTGCTGCAATATCTGTGCATGTTTCTAGCCTTTTGGGATCATAGCGTTTCGAACCCCATAGCCCTTCTACAGAACATTAGTTGTGATGATCAATGCAGCCCTTGCTGCAGTTCGCTATGGGGATGTTCTTCGCGTTTGGAAAATCATCTTAGCAACCCTGGGCATTGCTGACTTCGCCCAGCGATGTCAGTTTGAGATGGAAAACGTTCGTGAAGTTTTGATGAAGTATGCCCCTGTCTTTGCTGACAACACGGAGAACTTGGACATGATGATGCAATGCATTCAAGTGTTGACGGTGTGGTCAAACATGACTTTCAATGTCCAAATGAATGGAGAAGGATCTGAGAATGATACTTCGTTTGCGATGTCTGTTTGGATTGAACCTGACATGGTGATGCCTATGCCGAAGCCATCAGCGCCTGAGTCTTTGAGGTCCAAGTTGGGTTCCTTTATGCATGGAAAAGCTCACCTGAAGGAGCACTTAGTTAGCGAGCTTTTTAGCGCGAGGAGAGAGCTCAAAAACCTGGTGGCCTGGTCCTCTGGTTCTGCTCAAGAACTTGCGGCTCGATTTGAACATGCTGAGGTTTTGCTGGATGATGTACAAACAGTTTTGATAACTCTTTAG